CCAGGGTGTCCAGACGTTGGCCACCACACTTCCCTCTGTTAATAATAAGCACCTTAGAACTTAACTCGTTTGTGTATTATTTACGAGCTTGTAATATCTCTGAATATGTGTTCCGAACCTGACACTATTCAAATTTATAATCATATGAATACCACACACACGTGTGATCCTTGCAAGAATATGAAGTTGTGTTTGTTGTTAGTCTAATAAATTAGTAACCTATTAATTCTCTTTTATAGTTTCATGCAGGCCCTTTATAACAACTGGAGTTTTCTTGAAGCATGATATTACCGTAATATTTTGATATATTAATCATCGATTTTTTTGAGATCGGCAATATTTTGAATGAGTTTGTATTGATCGCTTTGGTTTTGATACTAAAAATCAAAGTTAAAAATCACAAAAAGCCATTCCATTGCAATGATGAAGCTATAACATAGTGGAAATAATACAGGTTTCATTAAGCTTTTGAGTGTGAATAAGCAGTAGGAATCGCCTGATCACATCAGACTTGAATTAGAACCAGTGTTAAAATCATAGACAATAGTAGGGAGGCGAATCCACACATATTTTCCTGTAATTTGAGTATCTTGTTGTTGTTCTCTACAGTATTTGATGTTTTTGAGAGATGAAGGGGATACTTTCGAAGTAGTTTTTTTAGAAACGACAGAACTCATACAGTTCTACCGGGAATTAACATGAACTGAGTTGAAACATATGCCTGAATGAATTCGTTCAGAAAAAACTTAACCATACGCAGAGATATGTCATATCATTTATCAATGATAAATTATATGTAAAGAGTCAGGCATACAAAATATTTACCGACAATCAATGTGTTTAATGGAAACAATTTCGGATGAATAATCGGAACACGATATACAGTCGTAGATTTTGAACAGTTTCTAATATTGAGTTGATATGCAACGCATATTATCGATATTTCACATTTTGTCTTAAATAAAAACGCATCATCACCATATATCATTAAGAGAAAATAACCATATAATCGAAAAAGGTAAAGTTTATCGAAGCATAACTACATAACGAACAAGAAAAAACACATGTATATGTTTATTCTCTTTCTTACATTATATAATGAACTAGGCAAAAAAAGTACGTTACTATATAACGATTTGACTGGTCGCTCAATCTTTCCGTTTACTTTTCTTAATAAAGCAGTTCTTGCACTAAGGCTCCAACTGTGATAGAATCAATCTCGGATATTATGGGATATTTGCTTATTTTTTTTAATTATTCTATGTAGATGTCGTTCGTAGCAATCGATCATAGTTTTTATTTTCATTTCATTTTCTCATTGACATATACAGTTTGAGTACAAACATTACCAAAGAAATGAACAAATGGTGTGAAGATTTGGGAAAATGGTTAATAATATAAAAATAAACCTAAATAATTTTGTTATTATTTCCATCAAGTATAGTAATACCGTTCTTTAATGTTTATTTTCGAAGTGATATTATACATTTGATACCAGTTTATATTCGAATTCTAATTGGGTATCTCAAAAAAGAAATAATGTATTTTACTTTAAAAGGTAATTTGTGTATACTACGCGTTTCTCCACCGATTTGTGTCTGAATGAGGTGTGTCTGTTTACTAAAGAATTATTTTTGAAATAGCAACCGGCAAAATATATTTCCACTGGAAATCACAATGTGAATTATGGTAGATAATCATTATATTAAAATGAATCAGTTTTATCTGCAGTAAGATATCAAACACTTTGCTTCGTATCATCTCTAGTAGACAGCTTTTATATTCACTAATGGATTTGTATACATTATTTATGCTGAATAGACAAAATCAAACAAAAAGTCAGACTCTGTACATCTCTCATTTTTAAATTAAAAAGATATCTTTGAATCAGATATCAACCAACACAATATAATGATAGAAATGGGTTCACTTTCGAAGCATTACCTGTCATACTAATGATCGTGGTCTATGTATAATATCACAAACAGAACGCCCGAGTAGAACATTTTGTAGTTCATCAAAAGTTGTACTAGTTAAGAGAACGTATTTATGACATATATCAAAACTTGACGAGAATAAAGCTTTGTATTTGTTTTCTTTTATTGGCATCATCGAGATATTCTATCATGAATTATCATACTTTTTGTTTTATTTTAACAAATTCAGTCGTATTATATACTTGAATTTATTAATAAACTGCAGAAAAATGTTAGCTTTAGCACACATATACGAGCAAAATATTCGACATGTTCAAGAAACTATTGATCGTTTCAAGTCTATTTTTAGGAAGAGTGGTCATGAAAACCCTACGATTATAATATAAATTTGTTTTTACCGTAATTCGTCATATATAACTACGTATTTGAAAGTGGACCCATTTCTATCATCATAATATTTATCAAATCTGATCACACAGTGCGTGATTGAAACAACTCTTTTTTTATATGATTTTGTAGCGGATTATAGGGACTATCTTTCTCAAAAGAAAAATGGTCTAATAAAATTCTAGATTTTTCTAATTTATTTATTTTTAAAAAAATATTCATAACTGTTTGATTGCAATAATACAGCATGAAAAACTACAAAAGATTGTTTATTAGCTTTTTATTTTACTGATGTAATAAGATAATATTAACGGTTGATTATTTATTTGATATTGAGAAGCATTATTCATAACTTCATCAGCTTGTTCAATATTTGTAAAAGATAAAAATGCGTATCTAAATCATAAATAAAATGAAAAACAAAATATGTTAAATAGAAATGTTTACCCAAGTAAAATTTTCTGATTTGTATTTGATTTTTGAACATTTCTTGCTGGAATATATTTAATTTGATTAGAATTAAAAAATAACTTTTTTAAATCATTTTCAGTAACGTTTTCAGGTATTTTTTTAACCACAAGATTCCAATTTTCATTAAATTCGTTTTCATTTGAGAATTGAGAAAGATTTTGAACGAATTCTATTTGACAATTTGATCCAAACTGTGAAGATTTAATTGTTCGTTTTCGATTATATTCCGCTTGAAGATTTGTACGATGAAATATAAATGCATAATTAAGATATGATGGTAATCGACTTGGTTTTAAAATAATTTTTGTTGAACCAATAAAATAAGATCGAAGATCGTTTTTTGTTATTTGTTTATTTAAATTCGATATATGTAAGATTTTCTTTACATCAATTTTACATTGATCATGGTTCTTTTTTATTATAAATTCACTATACGTTGCTATTCTCTATTTATTAATACTATTTTCAATGTAAAAGAATACTTAAGTTGAATAAACTTACTGATAATCTATTATTTTTTAAATAGATTTGTTCATTTATTGATTGATAATTAAATGATGATGGTCTGTCAATCATATTTAATATTTCTTCATTATTTGAAGATTCACATCGATTAGTATTCATAAAAATATCATTGGGAAAATCTTTTAATGAAAATAATTTATTAAAATCTGTTTCATTATCAATTTGTGGAAATGTCATTGATTTATTGCAAATATCCATTAAAAAATCTTCTCTAAATATTCAATTTATTTATTTGCATCAATCTTTCAAATCGAACTTACTCATTAATATTATCGAGAAATAATATATCTTTATCTGATTTAGAATCTTTATCTAAATAAATAAATAAATTTAAAAAGATATTCTGAAATAAAAAAGAGGAAATATTTTGATGAATATTAATTTGAAGATACTTTTGAATATATTTTTAAATATATTCATCATTATATAAATTCATATCAATTGATTCACATAAAACTTCATCTTGAGTAAAACTTTGTGAAAGACTTCCAGATGATAAAATAAGAATTTCAAGCGGATATTGAGTAATTTTTTTATATTAAATTTATTAAATAATAATGGATCAATTAATATCTTATCATGTTCAATAAATATTGATGGATTACTTTCTTTAAATAAATTTCTAAATCTCTCTCTTTCTTCTAATGGAATTATATACCAATAACGAACTCCACCTTCATGATGATAATTTAATTGATAAAGATTTTGTTTATTTGAAGATAAAGGAAATATTGTAGTACGTCCATGCGCTTTAATTAATATTGAGGGATATTTATTACAAAATTTTTTTCCAGATAATTTTAAAAGCGATTTAAAAGGTAATTGATGAAAATCAAATTGATCACGATAAACACGTTTAAAAAATAATTTTTGATCACTAATTATTGAAATACTTGAGATATTTTGTGTGTTTGAACCATTTGGTAATAATAACCAAAACATTTCATCATTTATTAAAATATTTTCTTTTTTTTCAGTAACTTTATTTGTTTTTATTGAATAAATTAAATTATCATTATCAACTTGTTGAATTGTTGAACACAATGGAACATTTATTGGTGTTTTTTTTAATAGATTTTTAAAATTTGATGTTGGAATTAATTTAATTGCACCATTTCCTTTTAATAATGATTCATTTTTATAAAGATATTTTAATAAATCTTTCATTTCATTATCTTTTATTGATATTGTTGGAACATCATATGATTCAATAGACATTTTTTATTCAAAATAAATAGAAAAACAAGTGTTTTTTTTCTTACTTCGTAATTATCGATAATCAAATGTGTTTGTTAGACAATGTTTTTTTTGTGCGTTTATTATTCTATAGGTAGACAACATACGTAGAAACAGCTCAGCCGTAAACAGTCGTAATACTCAGACAGATAATATCCCAAAAGACGACAGTATCAACAACACATACCACCGTTTGCAGGTGTAGACGGACTCCATATTCTTCGTCCTGAGAAGTCAGAATAAAGGCCATGTGACGTTTTTTATTCGAATAGAGTAGATTACAATAGATCAATTAAACATTTTTTCAATTTCTTAATAGAAAAATCAAAAAAAAATAACTATAATCAAGATTATTAAAATGACAAACCTTCGGTTGAAATAAACTCACTAATATACGAATTTAGAATTTATAAAAATAGCATTTTGTTCTAAAAATACATTTTCAATGTATAACGTTAGTCAATTATTTATCAAATTAGTTTTTTTATCTATTCATCTGATGACGTCAAAAGATAATTTCGCTTTGTTTTTATTTTGATCGAGAATATCGGATAAATTTTTGTTTCTTCTAATATAACTTATATGAATCAAGACGAAATGAAAGAAGAACAGTAGACATGCTTCTTTTTTCTTCATAATATTTATTCGTTTTTTTACCTTAAATAAGAAAATATCCGCATCATGTTAATTCATCTAATTTATCATAAATATCAAGATTTAAATGTAAAAAGAAACTAAAAATATTTCATTTAAAAAAATAACTGAAGATACATATGTAAATACAAATTAATAATCATAATTATCTTATGGATAAAAGTATTTTAATAGATTTTATTTTATTTAAAAATGAAAATGTGCAGATGGATAACTGATTTATTAAAAAAGGATATTAAAAAAGTAACAATTGAAATAAATTAGCTCAATCAAATAAGATTAAATTCATGAAAACAGTTTATTTAAAGTAACAAAAATAAAAATTTAATGGAAATTTAGTTTTTTTACGATTTTTACTTTTAATTAAAGGAAATTTTCTGAGGGTGTAGGTGTCAATGATATAAGAGACGATGCACCCACACCCCACACCCCACACCCAGACCCACACCCAAGGGCAATCGGGATCAGAGCTGCCAGCCAGGCCAGGCGCCTGGTAGCCTGCTAGGCCCATCTCCAGACCTAGGCCGAATTTTGAAAATTTGGCCTGGCCTGAACCCGTCCAGGCAATATATCTAGCCTGGTGCAGGACAAGCCAGGCTGGAATTGTTAGCCTGGCAAAAAAATTATATTATTTATTCTAGTAATCATCTTAAGATATTAGATAATTTTGTTCAATTTTTAATTCATTATTTACGATCGGCAGACATTTTTAGATCACAATAGTCATCAGTGCACGAATTGTATGAATAAAAAAGAGAAGACAATATGTGTAGTTAATCTTTTTTAATAAAGATTAAGAAAACAGTTATTTTGTTTAGTCGAAACACAGGAAATATTGAATTTTAAATTTTTACAGGCAACAATTTATATAAATAATGTCAACTGAACATTATTTATGTGTTTTCTTTTAACTATTCATCGTATCTCGAATTATATGTTGTTTTTATTATTATGCTAAAATATTTTTCGACTGCGTGATGAACTAAAGATATTATCAAAAATCTCAGTAATTCAAGTTTTTTTCTCATGAAAAATATATATGACGATTGTCTCTTTGTTTTAATTTACTATTTTGTGTATGAAAGTGTCATTCTATTATCTTTATCAAAATAAATTAAATAATTGAAACTGAAATTATATCATAAATCACTTCATTGTTATAAAATTTATTTGTTTTGAAAAAGAGCTATCGGCCTGGGCAGGCGCCTGGTAGCCTGCTAGGCCAGGCAAGTACCTGGGCAGTCCATCGCGCTCTAACCCCCAGGCTGAGTCAGACTAAGCAGGCCAGACCAGGACAGAAAAAAGTGACATGTTGGCAGCTCTGATTCATATTAAAATCAAACAAAATTTATTCAAATTGATTATACTTGAATAAAAAACGGTTTTCATTTACAGTCACTGAAAATCATTGATATTCAAATTTGAGAAAATATATTAATATTCATTATAATTGAATGAAACCGCTTGTCGTTTAGTATCACTTAAAATCACTTCTATAAAAATCGAAGTAAATTCGTTAAGATTCAATACAACAAAAAAAAATCGATTCGAGGGAGTGGGTGTGGGTAAGGATAAACTACAATATCTATACCTATACTCACTCACATGGTGATGTCATTCAACATTCGGGAAAAGTGACTCATGTATTACGAAGCATAATTGAATAAATCTTGTGCGTAGATTAATATTGATGAAATATCATTTTTTTTCTTTCGTTCTTTTGCTTAGTCTCGCTATTCATCCACCTTATTGCTACTGTATTATTTTTTATGACGCGGAGACAAAAAAAAATCTTCAATGTGCCTACTTTATTTGGTAAAGAATAAATAAAAAAAGAAACACGTAAAAACAAAAAAATATGGATGAAGAACAGTGGCTAAGGTTTGATTATTGTTGATGGTTTAGAAATATAACAGAAATGCCCTTATTATTTCAGACTGAAAACGACGGATTTGTCATATATAAATGCAATAGAAGAATTAAATATTCTTAATCGACTTAAATGTGGACAAACATTGATCAAATTTAAATCAAATGGTCATTCATATTCACGTCTTTATTATCTTGATATATTTGAAAATGCGATTCATTATTCAGGATCAAGCCATAAATTTAAACATAAAGCATGTATGAATATTTCTATTTTAAATGAATATATAAAGAAATTATTATTTTTTTGCTTAGGTAAAATAAAAAATATTGATCAAATTCGTTCTGGTTTTACAACTGCTGTTTGGAAAAAATGTTTAGATAAAAGAAAAATTAGTCCTGAAAAATCAAATCTAGCTTTTTCAATTCTATTTCATAATAATAGATATTCTCTAGATTTACTTGCAGAAACAGAACATATTTGTACACAATGGATAGAAAGTTTAGAATATTTAATAAATCGTTATCGTTCTCATGTACGTACATATCATGAAATTACAGATCAATGGATATGGTTTTTATTTTCTCATGCTGATCGTGATCATTCAGGTAGTTTAAGTCGTCGCGAAGTTCATCGACTTTTATTTACACTTAATATTAAATTAAATGAAGACGAAATTGATAAATATTTTAAACTTGCAAATATTCGAAGAAATAATGATGAAGAATTAACACATTTAGATAAAGATGAATTTTTAATACTGTACAGATTGGTATCGTATCGACCAGAATTACTTAAAATAATTTGTCGGTAAGTAATACAACACTATTTTTTAAAAAAAAACGAAATTATTTACTCTAGATTTAATGGTAGTACTCCGGAACAAATAGCAGGAATGCTTTCTGATAATACTACAATCAACAATTTACCTTATTCAATTCCAGTCGAACATCCTTATGATATGTCTTCTATAAGTTTTCAAAAATCGAGAAAGAAAAGTATTTTGTCAAGATGCCATCGACATCAACAAGAAAAACTTCCATCGGTTCTATTAGAAAATTCTTCGTCTTCATCATCATCTGATGTTACTGCTAAAAAGAACTGTTTCACTACTAAACAACTAAAAGATTTTTTACAATATGAACAACATATGAAAAGAATATCAATTGAAGATTCTTCAAAATTAATCGATAGATTTGAACCATCAAATGATAGACGAATATATAAGGAATTAAGTATTGATGGTTTTCGTTTACTTTTACTTCACGATGAATTTTGTATTTTAAATACTGACAAAACTCAACGAGTTTATCATGATATGACACGACCGATAACTGATTATTTTATTGCTACGTCACATAATACGTTAGTTTATATTAGCTAAATAAATTATATGAGTAACTTTTTATTTAAATAGTTATATTCGTGATAATCAAGTTTATGGTAGTTGTACATATGAAACATTTATACATGCATTATTAACTGGCTGTCGAGCTGTTGAAAGTAAACTTTTATCTTTTTTTTCTTTGTAAAAATTCTTACTGTTTTATGCTAGTGGATTGTTATGATGGTGATAATATGGAACCAATTGTTTATCATGGTAAAACATTAACTAGACCGATAACATTTCGGGAAACTATTCTTGCTATTGAAACTCAAGCATTTGAGATTTCACCGTACGTGATTATTTAGATTTTATTAAGTTATTTTCAAAATTTCTATTATTGATAGATATCCACTGTTTTTAAATATAGAAAATCATTGTTCATACGATCAACAAGGTGTTATGGCTTGTCATTTAAAAGAGATTTTTAAAGGTAACAATATCATTCTTTTATTTATTTTAAGTTTTAATTTATTATTTCTGAAAGATCATTTATTATCAAAACCATTAGTAGATGATTTTCAATCATTACCATCACCAGAGGAACTTAAATATAAAGTGATTGTCAGGGTAACAATTATTAAAAATATTTGATGAATGAGTTTTTATTGTGAAATAATAGAGTCGTCGATATCCGAAAGGAAAAATTCCAGCTGATCCAAAATCGAATCAAAGTAGTGATGAAACCGAACCAAATCCAAAAGTAATATTTATCTTCATTTGCTTTTTTTATTGAATTAATTTTTTAGGATTATCATCCAGATTTTGCCAGTTTAATTATCTATTCTGAAATTGTTTCATTTACCAATATTAATCATACAATCTCTACACGTTTGTCTTAAATTCAATTGTTTAAACACATTAGTAATTCTTATTATTTTATAGAAAAATGTTTTCATTCAATTTCATTCAAAGAATCAAAAGTTGATCATTTAATAAATATGCATGCACCTGAACATCTTGATTTAATTAAATTAACAAAACCAAATTTAGTACGTGTTTATCCTAGTAATAAACGACAAAATTCTAGTAATGTACATCCAGTTAATTATTGGACTTATGGTATAAAAATTGAACCTCTATCATAAAAAAAAAGAAAGAGAAGAAGATAAATTTTTATTTAATTTCAGGTGTTCAAATGGTTGCACTTAATCATCAAGCAAACGATGAAGCAATGTGGCTTCATCATGGATTTTTTAGTGATAATGGTGGATGTGGTTATCTTCTTAAACCATCATATTTATTATCGAATGATGAGACATTCGATCCAAAAGAAAAAGTTTATGAAAACGTCAAATATTTACAGATACATATTATAAGTGCACAGCATTTACCAAAAAAAACGGATTCAATTGAAAATATCGATATTGCTGATCCCTATGTCGAAGTTGTTACTCATGGTATTCAATGTGATAATACTAAACATCGTACAGCATCAGTACGTAATAATGGACTTAATCCAATATGGGATTATAAGATTAATTTAAATATTTATTGTCCAGAATTATGTCTTATCTTATTTAAAGTACGTGATAGAGATCGATTTACTCGTTCAGCACTTCTTGGACAAGCTTGCATTCCATTTACAGCACTTCAACTTGGTTATAGACATATTAAATTAAGAGCGAAAGATGGAGATTATATTCATGGAACATTATTTGTTCATATTAAAATTGAATAAGACTATCAAATGTATTTTTTCAATTTAAAAAATCGTTGTTTTCTTTCCTAGATCTGATACAGTACACAAATAATATTTTGCATAGAAGCTATCTATCTATTAATTATAAATCTTTTTGATTTATAACAATGGTAAATTTCGAAATTCTTGTATTTTTGTTCTTCTTCAGGATTGCAATAAAAATGAAATACTATATATATATATCAAAACTTTTATGTAGCAGTTCAAGTCTTTACTTTAAATAACATATGGCATCCCAAATATTATAAAACATATCAATCTGTTTTATTATTTATCTAAACTTCATACTATACAAAACACGCATATAATAAACATTGGTTATTGTTCGATAATAGACAAAGCAAATAGCGTTTTATGACATGAATTAATACCAATCAAATATATTCTTATTATGCGAATAGGTGATCTAAATATTGTCACCATTTCATTTTATAAAAAACTATTTACATAATTAACAAAAAAAAATCATTGCTTTAACATTACTGAAATATTCAACAAAAAATTTCAATACAAAATACTATTTATCTATTTGTAATTCTTAGATATTTATTTAAAAGTTATCAGTTGACTGTTGTTCTAAATATTTTTCAAGAATATTGGCTATATTAGCTTCATCAAATGGTTGTAATTCATCATTATTTTCAATTTCCATCCAACCATAAATTGGATCTTCATCATCTATATAATAATTTCCATTATGAAATCTTAATGGTTGTCGACGAGCATAATTACCAGGCCAATAATTATATAAATTATTTTGTTCGGCAATATAAACATAATCTGATGTAACATCAGTTAAAATAGCAACATGTCCATAAGGCATCTTTTGATTACGAGCATAAATAAGTAATGAATCTTTTTTCGGTGGTTCAGGAGAACCATTTGAAATAGGACGTAATCTAAAAGATCGACCATCTACAACTCGTTCAATATGAGGTACATCTGCCCATATATTGCATGCACATGGAATATCTTGAAATGTACAACTTTTACGTATTAATAACCATCGACGAGCAAATTCAACACATTGCCATTGATATCCAGTGAATATGCCATGATGATAGTGACGGCCCCTATGAGAACCATTACTATATTTATTTGAGTAAGAATGAACATTTGAAGATGCAGTTCCTTCTATTTCATTGAATGGAACATATTTACTTATTTCACTTGACATTGATGAATCTATTTTAAAAAATGGAAAAATAAATAAATATATATTACTATATCGAAGATTATCATTTTTTGTATAAACGCGCAAGTTTATTGATTTATATTCTATATAGATCACTTGTTAATCATTGAGTTGAACAAACTAAGTTTTGAAACTATTATGTAATTCTCTAGGCCAATACTATCTTTTTATAATTCATGGAATAGAGAAAAGAGCAGCAAGGATTTTTCGATGATATTAGCCAACCATTATGTTCATCTATATTTGCATCCATTCGCATTGCAAATACTTCTATTGTTATTAGATGTCGAAACAAGAGGTCGCTTCGTGACAACTACATTATTTACAACAATAGAATATATCTTTAGTTCATTCTTTCAAACTATCAAAAATCGATCATACTATTTCTTCAATGTTAATAACAATAATTTTTATTTTATAATAAGTAATGGTATTGTTTGATTCAAGTTTTCATGTCAGAAAAAGAAATTGTATTTTACTTTTTCTGTTGGATCTTTCCTATATTTCTCAACATATTCAGACAGTAATGCTACAAAACTCAAATCGAGATGAATAGAAAAGAAGAAACAGAATGAAAATATTACAAAACAACTAGCTTTTAATTTCAAGTTAAAATAAATTTTGATCATTATAAGTATTCAATTAGCGTTAAGTATGTCTTTTTTAATGAAAAAACTTCAATGTTTAACAAATTATCGCTTAAGAAAATTGCGCTAAATATATTCTCAACGTTTTGACATTACAACGAAAGAAATAAAAGAAAAATATTAAAACGGCTCAATATTATAATGAATTATTCTTTTTCGACGCATTGCGAACAAATACTCATATCAATAAAACTCTTGCGTTCTTTATTGTTATGATGACGTTTTCTTTTTTTTTCTTTGTTGGTTGTAATGGCAACAAACACATTTCTTTTCTTCATAGCCATGATGTAAAGTGAAAAAAAAGAATATCAAATAACTTTTTGATATTTATTCAAGCAAAAAATGACGACTAATGAATATGATTATCAAACTTTACTTGCTAAAACTGAAAACGAAGAATTAGAACAACTTGCATCTGTTTATCATCAACTAGGCTGTCTTTCTTTCAATTCAAATCGAGCTATATCTTTTTATAAAAGATCCATTGAAATTAATCTTTATTATCGACCAACTGATTATGATCTACTCTCTACAAGTTACAATAATCTTGGTGCTCTTCTTAATAAACATGGTGATTATAATCAAGCATTGAAATATTATCGATGTGCTTTAAATACTGATCTTCGTGAACCGGAAATTAATCAACTTAAAATTGCTACTTGTTACAATAATATCGGTAATATTTTAAAAAAACAAGGTAATAATCCAGAAGCAAATAAACATTTTCGTCAGGCATTAACTATTCAACTTAAAAACGTTTCATTTAATGATCTGATATTAATTACAACTTATCATAATCTTGGTTCAGTATATTGTTTGATGAAAGATTATCCTTTAGCAATAGAATATTATGAAAAATCTGTTAAAATTTTAGAAGAATATCATCCTCTACAATATTCATTAATGGCTTATACATATAATAAAATTGGTTCGGTATATAATTTAATGAAAAATTATGCCGTTGCTTTTTCTTGTCAAAAGAAAGCACTTAAAATGCAAGAAAAATGTTTTCCTTCTGACAATCCATCATTAGCTACAAGACATTTTAACATGGCTATAGCATTGGAAGGTTTAAAACGATTTGAAGAAGCTGTCGATCATGTTACACAAGCTATTGAAATATTACGACAAACATTAGGACCTCATCAACGTAAAATACGACATTATCAAAAATATCTTGATAAACTTCGTCACAAATTGTAATGCCTGATTTTTATATAATTGTTTGCAAATATTTTAACTTATTACTATAGTTTTTTTTCATACAATAAAAACAAAAGAACCATATGACATTCGACAAAAAAAATTGACAGTATAGATTTTAAATAAATATTATTATGAATGACAGAAGAAGAAAGAAAACATCATTAAGAAATAGTTATTTAGCTAAGTTCATTCGTTTTTTTTGTTTGACAACTATATGAAAGAAACATTAATCATTCTTGTATACTGTCGAGATATTTTTATCATTCTGTCAATCTATCATAAAAAAAAGAAACAGAGAAATATAATCATCGTTAATCTAACAAAACAAACATACATTCAACAACAATATATGTCAATAACAATTCTTCCGTCTAGGTACATCTATTTATCTTTTTTCCAGTGATTCATTTTTGAGATAAATCTTCTCTATTATACAATTCAATTAAGATATAAAATTGAGTATATTAATTTTCTATAAATATTAATAGTTAATTAGTTTACAAGCACGTCAATATCTATTAATATTAAACGCTAAATAATAATTCATATGAATTATCTGACTTTTTTCAACAAACTGTCTGATTTCATTAGGACACGTTCAAAAAAATTAATAATTGATAGTTTAAAGTTTAAAGTTTCTAGAAAAACACATAGTTATGTCTTCTTTTTTTTACTGCGTAAAATATATATTATATGACAATGTTTTTCATAGGGTATTTCATAATAAGCATATTGCTATTAAAAAAAACTCATTTCTAATATCAATTTTATTGTTGTTCTGATAGATACCTTTAAGACACAAATAAATACGATGAGTACATAGTCTATGTAGACATAAAAAATAGTATATACAAAGAGATATAATATTGACTAAATATATTTTATTGATTTTAAGTAAATAAGCGCTAAATAGATCAGAATAGACAAAAAACAGATGGTCGAAACTAAATAAAAAAAAGTTATCTCATGAATGACTTTTTATCATTAAAAATAATTATAAAACTCTTCAACCGTTATAATTCAGATTCTAATAATAATGCAGAAAAGAAGAAAAAGAAATTAGATGAATGTATAAGATAGACAAATAACATATTTCTCTAATTATTTCAGTTTATTATTAGATTTGTTTTTATATTCAATTTTTTATTATAATTTCTCAATAGAGATTTCTTTTCAGAAGTATAGAAACAACACTGTCTATCATTTAATGAAGTAGTAATGAAAAATAGAGGAAATAGGATGCATCAATGTAAATTTACTTTATTTGTTATTTTTAAGAAAA